TGTCGAACCAAGGAGGGAGGCTAGGTCCTGCTCCCTCCAAAATGCTATGTAGACAGACCCCTGGCGGCCCAATCTGGTGAGTGCCAGCGGCAAGGTACAAAGTACCCTCTGTCATGTGACAATGGAAAACACGCACAGAAAGAGTCAGTTTCTTCTAACACTTGACATGGAATTTTATTAGAATAAGGAAAATATTACCCCTACTACTTCCTTCTGTCTGTCTTGCTCTGCTTCAGTGTAGATCTTCACCCTAGAACTTCTGCCTGGCTCCTTTTTTTTTAAAACATCATACATCTTGAAACTCTTAATTCCTACTGGTTTCAGAAGGAGCTGAAGGCTCTGAGCACCTCACAGAATCAGGTACTAAAAGAGTTAGGTGTTTATGATCATCAAGGCAAAACTTTGCTGGACTACAGAATCAGGCCCCAACTGTAAGGATCCCTGCATGCAGGTTTCAGCAGCTAAGTAGAGAAGCTCATTTTAATTTTTCAGTTTTGTGTTAAAATGTCTTTATATGTAGACAAATCTACTTTAAAATTTCTGTATTTTGTTATGGAGGAAATTCCAACCCTCCATTTGTACAATGTGTCTAGCCTCATGGCTCCAATAAGAGTTGTACCCCACCCGCACAAATCGGGGCTGCAGCTACTGGAGTTTTGTAGCTCTAGAAATAGTGGTTACACCCACGCATCCTCTAGCCTGGCTCCAAATCCCTCTCTGCACTGACCTATGCAGAAATGGCACAGGCCCTATGTCTGCTATGCCTATGCACAACTACCCCATCACTTAGCTGTGCAAGAGAACCTTTGCAAGTGTTCCACCACCTTGAGGTTTAAAGTAGGAACTACAAAGCCCTAAGAGCATTTTTCCATACCTTAATCATTCTCATCACCCTCCTCTGACACTCCCTTCCCCCTCTAAGTCTGCACTATCCTGGTCTCGGAGAAGATATAGCAGAATTAGAGGTACTTAAGATAACTAGATACTAAATCAGTGTTGTTAAACTGTATTTGTCTTCAGATACAAATTAATGTTTATTTCATAAGATGTAACACCTAGAAACTAGAAAATAAGGGTACTTGGTCAGCTTGACAAGTACAATCTTCCCTAGACATTTTTAAAGCTGTCTTTACTGATTATGGATTTAAAAACTGTGAAATTGTTTCAGCCTTCAATTACAGTGAGTGATTAAGGGCCACAATATCTTAAGAATCTTTGACAAAGAGTCTGAAAAATATAACAGATGGAAAGTGAAAATTAGTTTTGGTTGATAGCTCTAGAAAAGTCAAGTCTTTTTCATGAATATGTATAGGCAGCAGCAAAATGCTTCTGGGTTCCCGACAGGAAAAATCCTTCAGAGTATGTGCACTATTACATTGTTCAGTAGTAAGTTAGGCATTTCATAATTCTACTGTATTGCATGATTTATAATAATAGGTGTGTTTCCCATCTTGCAAGCATTCTTATCCTTTAAACAGCCTCGAGCATTTAGCAGAGACCAGTTTTTAGGTGTAAGAAAATACATGATTTGTAAACATTTATCCTTAGCCATTTTATTGTTACTTCGACCATGTGATACATAAGAAAGCATTATTAATGTTAAGGACGTAACATTATTTCACTTAACAGCGACTACTGTTGATAATCTATTTAGTTGTCTCTTAACAAAATAATACTCTATAAATGATACATATAACTCATTTAAATAAACATAGTTCTGTTACCTCCCCACCATTCCTCAATCCATATTTGTTTCTTCTACCCACCTACGATATCCTCTCTTAAACTAAGGGTGCAAGTTCATTGGGGCAGGGATGCTTTTTCTATTCTAAATCTGTAATGTGTGAAGACACAAGCAGGTTAGAGACTCTAGGTATTACTGTAATACAAATAAAAAGATGGAATAAGGTAGTGGGGAGAGAGCTACATTAATGGATGTCAAATATGATAGAGAACTTTTGAAAGTAGTAAAATGACACCTTATATTAGTTAGAGAATCACAATACTCAGATGTAATATGGAATATTATGTAAAGCTAAAAAGATGGATGATTTGAAGGGAATAACAATGACATATAGAAAGATTACAGAGATACAGTACCACATGTCCCCAGTCTGGATGTCAGGCTATTAGCTACAAAACTCAAGACTGACTGTCTTTTTGTTCTGTTTGTACAGTGCCTAGCATGAGCAGGTGCTGATGCTATGGTAGTACAAATAGATAACAGAAATAGTAAATACATTCTCGGAGTGTTCCACTCAAATACTGTAGCTTAAAACTTCCGAACAGAATTTGCCTGTTGGGATCTAATGTCTACTTTCTTGTTAAGACAGTAGATGGAACCTTGGCCCCATTGAAGTTAGTGGCAAAACTCCCAATGAATCCAATGGCTCCAGGATTTTGCTCTAGTTGGCTAGATTATAAGCATTGGAACTGAAAGAAGTTCAAAGAGGTAGCAGGTAAATGACAGTTCATCAGGCTGGGCAGTATTCTGGAGCATCATTAGTACCTTAAACTGCAAGCTCTTTGAGAAAAGGAACATGTTTTTGTTCTGTGTTTGTACTGGGCCATGCCTGGGGCTCTAAGGTGCTACAATAATAGAAACAAATAATAATAATAGCTTGGACTTGTAAGTGATCTGATAGCCTGCAGCAGAGAAAATCTATCTGAAAGCAGGGTTGCTCCTTTTAATGTAGTACTATTTCAACAGCACTATATTAACATGCACTAGAAAACTTCAGTGAGCACCAGCAAAGTCTACACAGGCCAGTTAGTGCGCAGCACATGATGTGCTCTAGAATTCACACCCCTTCAGAGTGCATTGCTACGCAATGTAGACTAGGTCTTATTCCACACAAGGTTTAATATAATTTCACATCTGTTAGACAAAGTCAAACCCTAGCTGTGTCTGAACAAAGGAGGGAGAGACAGACAGATCAGCCTTTACATATAGCCCAGGTCCTGTAAAACAGAGGAGACCCAGAGAAGCAAGGCTTGTATGGAGCAGAGAGAGGCAGTGGAAGAGAGATGGTGATTTGAGGTCATTAAGGAGCACAATTTTTATAATTTTACAATATTTTACTATGCAACTGTTTCTGTTTCCCCTCTTATTGGAATTTCACCTTCCTAAGTTTCAGCCTATTTGAACTCTAGATTTATCCAAACTACATTTCTTTAATGGACACAATAATAAAAAATTATACCACTAGATGAGCAACCTCTTCTCCCCTACCCCTATTTGTAAATGTTTCTCTTAACTCCCACATCACCTGAATCTATATTTGGTATTGAAAAATTGAATCACTTTTAAAAGATGCTACTCAGGTCTGGAGGCAGGGAAGAAAAGAGTTACAAGTTTAGTTACAAATAGCTAAATATGTTATAAAACACCATCAAACTTACTTTAAATAATATACTTTTCTAATAAAAACGGTACCACTTGTTTGCCTGAAGTTATAACATTATTACAGATAGATCAGTATTTATTACTATTATATAAAGCAAAGTTGCAAGTGTTTTACAGCATATTTCTAAGGCTGCTTAAACATCCATATAATTGGAGATGACCATGGCATTCAGATCCAAATCTAAGTTCAGACTCCCAACTTCCTACAGATTCCAAAGCATTCAGATCAGAAATTTTGATCAGACTCATCTATGCATGTTGTATTGCAACAGTAACTACGATCTGTTGACTAGGATCCAATCTTGCAAATAACCATTAAAGTAACTTTACTCACTGAGTGGTTGAATTGAGTTTAATGGGACTAATTGGCTGATTAAAGTTACTGCTGTGCCTAAGTGTTTGCAGAATCAGGCCTTTATGTAGAGCTAACAGTCCTCTCAAAGGGCTCTTTTGCACTGCTCTGACTATGCAAAGGGGCCACAAAGTTAACTTTACCAGATCCTCCTCTGGTATACAGTTAGCATTTAAGGCTTTGCCAGGATAGGGGAAGCATTCATGAAGGGACCCCCCGCACTCTAGTGCCCCCTAGCCAGTGTAATGGCCACCTGGAAGCTGCTACTAGTTAGCATGAGTTAGAGCAGGTCAATGTCTGCTCCAGCTTATTTCAGAGGTCAAACCAGGCCATAGTATCTCCAGGAGTCATGAGAGTGCCAAGAGAGTATACAAGCTGTAACATTTTAAATACATAATATAAAGGTTTTTTTGCATAATACAGGAAGTTATATTATCTTGTACTGCTGCCTCCTGATAATGAAAGTATGCGATGACATAGTAAGAACAAGAGCAAATCTTGAGTAGTCTACAATGTTATCAATACAACAAGACATTTTTGTCATAATGCAGAGTTTTCTTCAAATGATTAAAATATTGGAGTTCATTTTTAACATTTTAAGCTGCCTAAAAAAGCAATGTGTAGTTACCCTGCAGCAGAATCAGCATGCAATAGCCATCCACAAAGAGAAAAAGGAGCTATAGAGATATTTTTGGCTTTTGATCTAAATATACTGGGTGATTTACTGTAGAGCGTCAGATAAAGGTTTTGCGTGTTTTATAATACTGGGAGGAATGCATACCTGAGGCTGAAATGGAAAAGGTTAGCAAAATGGAAAGAGAGAGAGAGTTATGAAAACAGTTATTGTGGTAAGTGAAAATAGAAGGTTATGAAGAGGTTTTGTATTGCGTATACAGTGTGTAAGACTGGTAGATATTCAAGGTATATTGGGCCAGATTCTGAGCTCAATTACACTGGTGTATGCTCAGCAGAATCTCACCCACTGAAGTATTTTCTTTATTAGAAAGTAGGTTAGACCATTAAATGCTCTATTGAATAAAATATTTTAACTGACAATCATGCATAATAATTTATTCACTTGTCTTAAAACTCAGTGGACCAGACAGCACCCTTTCAAGAACGTTCTGAATTTATATACTTTTGCAAACGATAATGATCCCTCCCTTCCTCCAAGTGTGTATCTCTGTTTTAGGAATATCCTGTGAATTTTAACTTATTGTAATAATATAGAAGGCAGCAAAACAGTGTTTCATAATTTTATTGGGTTTTATTCACTCTGACATTGATAGGTACAATGCCAGTAACTCTGGTGGTTGCATTGCAGTTCTGTTGTCACTAAAAATAGTTACAGTTTCTATCACCATGCCTTACACAAAAACTGCATGCAAATGACACAGTGCTTTATAGAAAATAGACAATCATTTTATTCATGAGTTATGCATAACTAGTTTTTTTTTAGTTACTTTTGATTTAAATCAACTACAGAACCTGAGAAGCTTAAATATTGAGTAACACTGTCTCCATAGGCAAGTCAAATTAATGGCACTACTAATCACAAGTTTTGGATACACTAAACAATATTAATCTCACAGAATTATAGAAAAATAAACATTTTCACATATATGCTTGAAACACACTGTAGTACAAATTCACAAAACATTAAGCATGTAAATCACATTTTATTCCTTCATATTAGTTTGAAATGATGATGCAATACAATTTACACCCCAGACATAACATTTTGTAACAGATACAGATTAAGTGGTCAAATTCTCAATGATGACAAAAATCTCTGGAGTTAAAAATAATACAGCAAATGTAAGAGTGATAAAACTGCAGGTCAAGCTACTATACTGTAGTTAAGGATTTTTTAGTGGTTCTCAGACAACTTCCATGTGAGGGTCAAATTCTGCCCTCGAATATGCATGCAAGATTCCCATTAGTTACACATACAAGAAACAGCATGATCAGCTGAATGAACACTGGTTTGGGAGTCAGAATCGTCCAAATTCTAATCCTCGCTCTGTTGCTGATTAACTGTACAGGCAATTTGCTTCACCTCCCTGTGTCAGTTTGCCTGTGTATAAAATAGGAATAATGATACTTACCTACATTAGAGGGGACTTAATGTTTGTATAACGCCACACTGAACATGTAAGCTATTATATGAATGCTAGGTATTATGAGTGCTAGAACTTCCAGATACATTTCTGGGAATTGTGCCCACATAGGTACTCAGAAGCCATGCTCATGAGCGTGAAATAAATGTCTAGAGAGAACTGCAGGCAGAATTTACCCCAGAGGGAAGCATATACACTATCCAGCAAAACTTTACTTGAGGCAGAAAGTGGACACTATAATGCTTGGACTAGGAATAATGTGTATTAATTTACATTTCTGGAAAATGGGCAAGATGTTAGGACTGCTTCCTTTGGCTGTGAGGAACACAGGAGACCAAATAAAAGACTAAAGCAATATGGGGCAAAAAAGCCCCAGAAACAGTGGAAGTAAGCCAAGCCAGGATAGCACATTTTCCCCCTTCTTCTGTGCCTGGGACCCAGAGGAACTTTACTCACTTTTAGGGGTAGGCAGTGGGTGAATAAAAGGAACAGCCATTTTACATAGCATGCGCCTCTCAGAATCCAGTGGAGATGCAGTGGGCAAAAGGAGCAGGAGTTAATTCTCTACCCTGTGGTCTGCACTGTATCTTCTCCAAAGAGGGGGAAATAGCACAAGCTCAGCTGGAATGACCAGTAGCAACACCACATCTCCTTAAGAAGCCATGCTGCCAGAAGGGAGAAGTCCTGGCCCTTGGCAGAGCTGTGGTATACAGGTTCTGGGTCCCCTGCCTCCACTGTTCCCCCATTTTTCCTCATGAGGGAAGGATTCAGTGGCATCTTGGCTGTAGGAAGATCCCTACTGTGGGTTTTAATGTTGTGATGGTATAATGTGACCCTTAATGCTTATTATATAGTTCTATAAAATAATAGCTCAATCCCAAATTCTGTCCTCAAATGCACAAGGGAAGCTGTCCCTAAATTCAATGGGAGTTACTCATGTGCATCCAGTGGCAGAATTTGGCACTTAGTGTCTTTAAAATTAAATTTTCATTAGGCTGCTAATGCATAAACTGGACTCAAAACTGCTAGTTTAAAAACAACAAATTTAAACAGCCATGATATCAAGCTACTGAAGTTTCGAAAGTGCCCTCAGCCCACATACAGTAACTAGATTACAGTTGCTTCATTTTGTATTAGACATTATCCCTCCTGGGAGCGCATGGGCATGAATGAGGCAAATTTGACCCTATGGAGCTATAAAATGCAAATATACCATGAACAAAAAGGAAAGGAGTACTTGTGGCACCTTAGAGACTAACCAATTTATTTGAGCATAAGCTTTCGTGAGCTACAGCTCACTTCTCAAATAAATTGGTTAGTCTCTAAGGTGCCACAAGTACTCCTTTTCTTTTTGCGAATACAGACTAACACGGCTGTTACTCTGAAACATATCATCAACAGTCATTTATTTCTGTATAGATCATTGTAGCTCTGTTTAGGTCAAATATTCATTTCTTTAAAGGTTTTTTTTTTAAATAAAAGTGTTTATCAAGAGCTTTTATGGATCTCTAAATAATGTACATTTAGAAGACTACCAGCAAAGATGCCAAGAGAAAATAGCTGGCTCAAGGTTCAAGTCCAGTCCAGCACACTAAAGAGTGAAGTCAGTACTGTTAGGCAGACTTTGAGTAAGGAGGTGATTGCCTGAGTCCAGTTCCTAGTGAACAGGACTACAAAACCCACTATCACCATTGTCACTAAATGGCATTCTCAGCAGTGTCAGCAAAGGTCTGAATGGAAATGAAAACTGTATTCTCCTCACATACCTAGAGGTGGTTCCGCTAGGTCAGCATGAGAGATGTGGTGAGAGGCAGTTTAGGGGATTTTCTCTGCTGATGCCTATGCTGTGAATAGATGGAGGGGGGCCTTTGGTCTAAAGACCTGTCAGGCTGGTTACCTTTCACTAGTATTAAATTCATTTTAATAAGATTAAGTACCAAATGGCAGTAGTATTTACCAATATATCTGGCAAATTACCCCAGGAGCCCATGCCACATTGAGCAAGAAAACAATTTATTTCTGGTCCCACGACATCCAGCCCTGCCACAGTTGGCCAGATCCTCCTCGGATGTGATTGCCCAACACACACCATGCTGTGATGTTGCAGGTACAAAGTAGTCATGCTGGAGCACTGAGAGTCACTCTTGTTATCCTGTGCCATGATTTTGCAGTAGCTCTATCTACTTCAAGGTACAGAACGTGTGCCAAATACAGTAATGTTAAAAAAAAAAGTGGGGACTTAACATGAGATTCTGTGGACCAGCTCCATGTTCCAGCTGCACTCAGTGGTAGTTGTCATCTCAGAATGGTGCATGTCAGGGACTCACATCAGAATAGGATGGTGGTACTGGTTGTTGGTAATTCTGAATGTCACCGGACCTGAAAGAAGGAAAATAGAATAAGTTTTAAGATAAAAATGTACTTAATGCCCCTCCTACCTGCACCATGGAAACTTCCAGGACATAACTGAGGTAAAGTTACTGGAATGAGGCGCCTTGTCTCTGCAAGTCACCTTTAAAAATTAATCCTGATTACATACAATATTACCACAATGGACCATAGTGAGCTATTGGGCCAGTCTCTTAAGTGAGTATATGCAGGCAAGATGAGTCAAAATTAACTTTCCACTGTTGTGTGGAAGGCACAATAGCAGTCCATGTTTGGGAACCAGTGTGCTGTAGGGAGAATCATGTACCCCACAAAGGAGCAGAGCAGCAGGCATTCTGCCACTTTAAGAAGGGTGAATATTGCCTTCTTGAGTTTCCGATGGAGATGTGCAGATCCTCCCTGCCCCTCATTGTGAGCTGTACCTATGTGTTACAATTGTATCCCGAAAATTTTGTTGCTGCTCTTGATTTTTAAGGTCTAATATACATTAATGAATAGCCAATATGGTTTAGCATAGCCTTGATACACATTTTAAAAAATAAAACAAAGTGGGTTGATTATATGATTTTTTTAAAAAAAAGTATCTAAATACAGACTTATCTGAATCTCAGGATTGACTATTGAGTATGTGTGTTTCATGCTTCAAAAAGTTCCTAATTAGTGCAACATTTTATTCCCTAATTGAAGGTAAAAACAAAAAAAGACCACAAAAAACTGAGAAAGTAACATGATTTTAAACCCATAAAAACCCATTCAGTGCACAGTCTGCAAATCCATTCTGACACTATCCTTAATTCATCTGCCAAGCCCACCAGTGCATGTCTCAGTTAAGTGCGGCCTCATAAGTGCATAGTTACACACCATGTACTGTGAAAAAAAAAGGAGTACTTGTGGCACCTTAGAGACTAACCGATTTATTTGAGCATAAACTTTCGTGAGCTACAGCTCACTGCATCCGATGAAGTGAGCTGTAGCTCACGAAAGCTTATGCTCAAATAAAGTGGTTAATCTCTAAGGTGCCACAAGTACTCCTTTTCTTTTTGCAAATACAGACTAACACGGCTGTTACTCTGAAACCATGTACTGTGGGGCTGATACTCATTCTCTGGCAGCATAAAGGAGCCTTAGATTTTGTCTCCACTAGCACTTTTGTCAGCACAATTTTTGTTGGTCAGGGGTGTAAAAATGGCATAAGTTTCACAGAGAAAAGTGTCTGTGTAGACAGAGCTATGTCGGCAGGAGAGCTCTGTCCCACCAGCATAGAATAGCTATACAGGAGAACTTACATCAGCTCAGCTACGCTGTGCCACCATAATGTCTCTAGGGTATAGCCTTAGTATAAATGAGAACCAAAGTCTGTACATTCAACAATGATAGAATCATAGAATATCAGGTTTGGAAGGGACCTCAGGAGGCATCTAGTCCAACCCTCTGCTCAAAGCAGGGCCAATCCCCAACTAAATCATCCCAATGTTTTGTCACAAAGAGTTAGGAGCATTAGCCTTGAGTTCTCGCATTAGCTCTACATTTTCTTGGATTTATAGGATTCAATGAGATTTTTAGCATTACTGTAAAATGTTATGCTTGCTAAACAGTAGCTTAATTTATGTGTAGACTGCACATCAACAGCAAATGGTAGTCCAAAATGTCTTGCAGGGCTGGATCTGAGAGTTTATTATAAAAGATGTTCAATTAGAGTACAATTACAACAGTTCAAACATGCCATTCTATTTTTTCTGTTAATGCTCAATTCTGAAAATATGAAAAACAGAATCATTTAAAATGTTATTAGATAACACTTCACATGTGTACTTAGTCTTCCAATAAATAAGTTAAATAAATAGTTTTTGCAGGTTAAGTAGTTTTATGTTTCTGAACGTAAGCTGCTTAACAACGTTGTCAAGAGATATCTAGAGCTATTCATTTTCTGCATGTAGTCAGTCCTTGGAAATTAATATGCAAGATAGAAATAGTTTATTTTTATTTCTAGCATAAAGTTTGTGGGGGCTGAGGATTTGTTAAAACCATTTACTCATTACATATCACGCCATTTTGTGCGCGAGATTCAATAACACTTTCAGACACATTTCAAACAATATCTATGTGAAATAAATAAGGTTTTGTTCCCCATAGATTCTGCTCAAATCCTCGCTGACTGCTGCATTGCACAATATATTATTCTGCGCAATTTTAGGTGACCCTTTTACACATTTGGGTGAGACAAATTATGAAGGTACCCACTCCCCAGCATGACATTATTGGCAGTGTATTGCAACATTTTGTTGATACAGTAATTCTTTATTCACAGTAAAAAAAAAGTTGAAGTTTATCTTTTTTTTTTCTTCTGATTCCAACAAATATTGTTCTTTAACCCATTTTGATAAGAATTTGCCTGGGAAACAGCTTGTGTTATCACACAAGATAAGCAAGTGAAAAATGCTTGTCCCAAATGAAGGTTAAGATAATTCAAATATCTCCAGCTTTTATGTGGATAAAATTAAAGTGTTTTCAATAATAGAATCTGTTACCCGTAAGAGAAGTCACACAAACTTCCAGCATCAGATGCTGAGTGTCAGAACTGCAGTGAAGTGTTGGTCAAAATTTGTAACTCTAGAGAGCAAGTCTCTTCCAAATCTGTAATTTTGGTCCTGCTATTTGCCCAAGCAGAGTCCCCATTCCTGCAGTCCTTATTCAGGTCCTTTATTTGGTTCTTTCCACTGAAGACAATGAGGATTTTACTTCAACAAGGACTGAAATACTGGATATTTAGATATGCAGTGCCAATTTTTTTAAACTCAGATTTGTAGGTGATATCTACACTCAAAATGTACTGCAATTGTGCATGAATAGGTAGCTGCCTGCACAAAAAGCAAAATAGACATCAGTCTGTGTGCAAACACCAGGGTGAAATTCTGGCCCTGCTAAAATCAATAGCACTGACTTCAACATGCCCAAGATTTCACCCTTAGTTTTCATGTACAATCACAATAATTTGTCAGAGTCATGACACACATGGGCCTGGAACCCATCCTTATAGGAATCAAGCCTTCTGCAAAGATAGAACCAGAAAGGGCACCACCACCTCGCTACCAAAATTTTATCATTTTCTCCAAAAGTAGAAGATGCAAAATCACAAGACAACGTTCAAGATTGCTGCATCATGATCTGAATGTAAATAATTTTTTTACAGTGTGAGTGTAAAAGAAGAGGCTATGGATGGAAGTATGGACAGAGGCCCAAAAGAAAAGTTTTTCTTGGATATTTTTTTTAAAAAAACCTGTTATTATTAATGGAGACAAAAGAATCAATAACAGCATCCGATGAAGTGAGCTGTAGCTCACGAAAGCTTATGCTCAAACAAATTTGTTAGTCTCTAAGTTGCCACAAGCAGCACATTTGAAGCTATTTTTTCCTCTGTGGGATTTGCTTTGTCTTATTTTATCTGACACCAGTCAGAAAGATATACTATTGTGAGCATTTTTTTAAAAAAAAGGTAAAAACAGAAATCTGATGTGTTTCCCCCCCCATTAAGATTAAATTTATTTATTTATTTATTTTACACTTACTTTGCTTAAGTTCTCCTTAGACTCACAAAATGAGACACCCCTGCTCCAAAAAGAACAATACTGCCGGCCGGTTCAGTAGATTTTCCCCAAACAGTCATGGCACTAAAGCATCCTACTGTCTTAAAAACGGACAGTTTTGTTTTGTTTTTTGCTACTGCTTGCAAATCTTTTGCATTCACATACTTGTGTCTCCATTCACTTTATATTCTGCTAAAATATTGAGAGTCACTTCCTCGCTTTTTGATTGCACATTGAGCTCACTTCTTCTAGACATTTTTCTGGTTGCCCTTGAAAGTCTACTTCTAAAGGTATCACCTGCCAAAAAATACAGAATAGGATCTACACAGCTGTTGAGACTAGCTAACCCCCTTGTCACTTGGTAAGTGGCATATACTTTGTCATTGAAGGCACACATTTGTGGAGTCTGAAAATCTAGCCTGGCTCTGAGATTCAATGTCTTCATCACATGAAAGGGAAGATAAGACACGGCAAAGACCATCAACACAATAATAACCAGGTAAATTGATTTTCTCCTAAGAGGAGAATTGTCCAAATCCTTGTAAATCAAAGCTTTCACTATTAGTCCGTAACAACCAAGAATCAATATGAATGGGATGCAGAATATAAACACAGTGGTGCATATGCTGTAAATGAAGTAACTTCTCAGATAATCATCAGTTGTAGTATCATAACATGTAATGGTTTTATTTTTCCTTAGCCCAGTTCCAGAGTAGAACAATATAGGAGAAATCCCAACTACAACAATGACCCAAACAAGGGTACTGATGTAAACAGCATTCTTTTTCTTCAGTCTCCCAAGTGATTTCAAAGGATACACTACCCCTGTGTATCTGTGCACACTGATGCAAGTCAGAAACAAAATGCTGCCATACAGGTTCACATGGAAGATGAACCTTTGCAGTTTGCACATGATATCCCCGAAGATCCAATCAGTTTTATTGAAGTAATAAAAGATGAGGGCAGGGAGCGTCAAGACATACAAGAAATCAGCTAATGCCAGATTGAACATGTAAACTGAGATGCCACTCCAAGGCCTCATGTGGAAGACAAACATCCAGATCGCCACACTATTGCCCAGAAATCCAGAGATAAAGACTAGAATGTAGACAGTGGGCAGATAATAAAACTGGAAGCCGGTTTTGGTTAGGGAACATTTGGTAGTGGCATTTCCCAGAGTCCAGCCAGTGTTTGACAGAATGTTGGTTTCAGTCCCATTCAAAACAGCTGAAAAGAGGATTTCAGTCATGATCTCTCCACTAAAGTCAGACAGGTCTGGGGGTAAAGCAGCAACTGTCTCTGGGGGGACAAGAAAGCATCTAAAACGAAAAGGCAAAGAAAGACCCAGTTGGAACCTAGCATTTTATTTATTTATTGCTTTATTCAAACATTGTCAGATGAAGAATCCATGTATACTTGTTCAATTTTATTCACCAATCATTCAATTATTTTTCTCTCTGCAGTTTAGTTGAGCACAGGGCATGAACTTTTCCTATGAAATATTTAAACCAGCCAAGTGTCACACTTGGATATGACACAGGCACCCTTCCTCACCCCCACTGAAGACTGCCAGCATCCCTGCTGGAATTTCACACATCCAGGTGGGCTGCTGGGAGTCAATAGGGTCCCGCTACAGATCCTTCTCCTCCTCCCTGTCACAGTTGAATAGGGGGTCACCAGGGAGCCAGAGCAACTCTCTACTCCCTCCCTCCTTACTCCCCTTGCTAGACCCCAGCGGACATGAATCTGGCATAAGCAAAGAGGAAACAATGAGGGTAAGGAGGAAGTGGCAGCTGCACCAGTGCCCCAGGGATAGGCATCAGGGGCTGCCAGTGGTTGATGGAATGGGGGTACAGACTGCACTGGGAGTAGAAAGGGGCAGGAAATGAAAGAGGGAAATGAAGCAGGCAGGAGCCAAAGTAGGGAAAAGGGGCTGAAAAAAAAAAGAAAGAAAGAAAGAAAGAAAGAAAGAAGGGAGGGATTAGGAACTAGCAGAAGAGGGGCTGACTTGGCAAGGGCTGTAAGGGTGTCTCAGAAGGCAGCAGGGGCTCAATGGAAGAGGGAGAGAATGGGTCAAAAGGGGACAAGCTGAAGGAGGCTCATGAGGATAAGAGAAGAAGGGCAGACTAGGGGAGGCTGAAGGGGGCCGCGGCAGAAAAGGGAGGGTGCTCTAGGTTCCCTGACACCCGCTTCCTGCCCAAAGCAGTGATTTATATTGCCGCCTTGGAGGTGAGCCAAGAGCCCCTCCAGAGGGACTCCCCTCCCCCGGGCAACCTCGCAGAGCTTCAGCTCTTCCGCCTTCCAAACACCTCAGGCTTCGGGCTACCCTCCAGCCCCCCGCCCGCCCCCTCGGGGCCGCTGTAAGCGACCCCCTGCCCCGCAGCTCCCTCCACCCGCACTGGCCGCCCGGCTACCCCCGGCTCCTTCTCCCTCGGCAGGGAGGACGAAGAGTCCCGGCCCCCGCTGCGGGGCGCTCGGGGCAGGCTCCCGTCTCCGCGCACCGGGCAAGCCGTGGCGGGCTGGGGGCAACCGCGCCAAACTTGTGGGCGCGGCGGGGCCAACTTGCCCCGAGCGCTCGGGTCGCTCCCCGCCCCGGGCGATCCTACCTTCCCGGCCGCTCAGCGGGTCCGCTCCTCGGAGATCCGGCCCCCGCCCCCCCGCCGCCTGCTCGGCCCCTCCGGAAGGCAGGAGAAGGGGCGCCCGGAGGGCGGCATGTGCCTCTCACTCCCCGCGCCGGCTAGGAGCCCAGGTCCCCGCCGCGCCACCTTGAAGGCTCGCCGCAGCCCCGCGCGGCACTAGGCGAGGGCGGCGGGAGCGGGCTGAGGAGCAGAGTTCAGCTTCCTGAGGCGGCGGCAGAGCCGGGAGTGGCCGCCACCCACTCAGCAGCCCCAGCCCAATCGCCGGCTCCGCGCCTGCCCCCCTGCGCTCCAGGCCCGGGAACAGGAGCGCGGCACGCAGCAGCGGCTCCGGGAGAAGCGGCTTTCTCACGGGCGTGTTAGCTCAGCCCCACGTACCCTCCCTTCTGACACCCGGGTGGGAGAAGGGGGCAGATAGCAGGGAAGGATCCAGGCGGTCTGGTTCGTTTCCTTGAACAGCCGGCTGTAGCTTTTAGCAGTGGGAAGGGAACACACAACACAGCGAAGTTCCTGGCACCCGGAGAGTTGTTCTGCCACAAACACCAGCCATCCCTACAGGTAACAGAGCTGCACAGGGACGGAAACCCCGACCAGTCACACCAACACGTAACACAATCACATTTACAGAGAGAGTTACACGCAGAGACACCTCTCTCTCTCACGCACACAGCCCATCTTTCCTAACATCTACGATAACAGTAAACCGCATTTTTGGCATGACCATGTGCCATTTTATCTATTGAACGCGGTTACACACATGCATAACTTAAACCATAGACAGACTCACACTGATGTGCGATAACACCCTCACGGACGCGGACAGCTAGGTCATTGACACCCATTCACACACACTGACGCTCATTTACATACACATAGGCACAGAACTACTCAGACAAGTGGGAACAAAACACCCCCTTTCAGGAGGCAGATGTAGAGAGAACATATGCAGACAGCGGCTCCCTGTTAAACAACTGGGTTTTTTCTCTGTCCTTTATATTTTACCTTGCGAGCCACTGCATTAAATTTAAAAATTAATTGGACAGTCGGGGAAAGATTCAGATTCATTCTTACCAGATCTGTGATTCTTCTAAGACCTTGAGACTTCTAAACGTATCTTTTTTATTCATTTTAAAAGATTTGTAATTTTTGCCTTCAAAAGTTTCACTGAAGTATTAGTCTACAATGGAAATGCCTGGAAAAAATTATTGACAGGTACCGACTGTAAGCAAAACACAGTATCAGCAGTCCTAGAAGTAAATGGTACAGTTGCTCTCTAGTTTAGCTTTGTGCACTGAGCACTTAATTTACTTCTCCAAAGTAACCTGCATTGCCTTTTCTAGGTCAGAATGTTATTATTTTGTTTCCTTAACAAAACAGAATTCACTGGTTTCAGCCATCTGGTTTCTTGCTCCTGTGTTAGTAAACTGTGTGATATGTGATACATACTACAGTCACATCCCTGCTAACTTGAAATACAGCCATAGTTTAGCACTATTAGTATTTCTTGCATTATTTATGTATAACATTTTCAAACTTGAAAGTCTCTCTAAATTACATAACTAATTTATTGGGAAAGCTTACTAGGGAAACCATCCAAATACTCTATGTCTCCAGGAATACACAAATGAATACAGAGAGGAATTTTAAACTGGTTACTTCTTGGGGTAAATTACACAAAAATATAGTTTTAAGCAATTTTTTGTTTCTCAATGATAGGACCTTATGCTTTCTATACATTTTGGTAGGTTTTTGTTGGTGTTGTTTCTCTTTTGCAACATTGCAGTAGCTACAGATGAAAGCTTTTTTCTTCTTCATTTTATCCCAAATAAGGGAACATCTGAAGAGTATGTATCAATGTACCATAAAAGTCTCATCTTACAAAATTGTTCATTGGTGTCTTTTCATAACCACAGTGTTCCCACAAGAGAACCTATCCACAAAACAGAATATATATACACATTTTAAGACCACCATGCTGGCTTATGAAAGCAGTAATCTCTTTCCTAAGAGGATAAACTACAAGGTTGAAGAGTTTATTTTAATACAAGACTTGGATTGTTGCTACAGAAAAAAATGTAATGCTATTAGCATGCTAAAAGTCTTTTAAAATTGTCTATTTATTGTTTTACTATTAGTAATTTCATTAGTCACATTGATATTTATTATAAAACATTTATCACTAATCTATCTAGCACAGTAAATTTACACAGCATTTTAGTGGTTAGAGTCAGTTATAGTTTAGTTAGGTAAGTGCAGTGCAAGCCTTCCTACACACCTCGACCAAAGCAGACGTCATACCTGACAGCAATTTCCCTGGTATTCCAGTCTTGAGCAAACTGTGAATCATACCAAACAGTTGTAGTTTTGTAATATCAGCAAATATACTGTGAGAACTAAAACCCATTGTCACGTGTTACCTAAGCAGAAGCAGTGTTTTAAGTTCTGACTTCTAAAGGTGAAAGGCATTAACTGTGCAATAACTCAGTGTCCTGTAACCACCAATTAAAAGAAAATGTTTTCAAAATTCTTACCCATAATTGAAATACTGTAAGTGCTTACAGGGCTTGAGCTATGCTCTGAGCCTGCATCACTGACAAGCTGACAATGTAATGAGTAGTCTTGAATACTGAAATACATCAACATTTTATTTAATGATAAATTTAAAAAAACTAAATATAATGGCATTGAAGTACATATACTGGAAATACAATTACTAACAGTGTATCAATAACAATATAAAGAAATTAATCATCCTTTCTGCTCATAGTTAGAGGTGATCAAAGGGATATGAGGCTCAAATCATGACCCCACTGAAGCCAGTCACAAAACTCCATTGACTTCAGTAGAGCCATGATTTCATCTGAAGAATACAAGAGGAAGAAAGAAGTGTATGTAGTAATATTCCTCAAGAAAGCATGGAAGCTACTATTTATAAACCATGAGTGTTTGAGATTCTATGCATCAAATTAATGAAGTCATAATAAAGATTAGAGATGATTAAGATGTTGTGTTTTAGGGGAAGCAGAGCCTAAGTGACTTCTTTTCACAGCATCATCCCACTTGCTAAACAAGACAGGGTGAAAATGATTATTAATAATAAAAATATTATTTGTAAACCATGCACTCCTCTTCCCTGCAAAAAAGTGCTTGGGGTACAGAACAGCAATCATAAAACAACTTCATTAAATAAACGGAACACTCCAAACTTGACAAAACTACAGACAAAGCCACATCAGAGGCAGTAATTTAAAAATGCCTCTGAAAACAATACGTTTTTAGGGATGGATGAAATGAGCTGGATTTCAGAAGGCAGCCTGAGGGAGCGAGGAAACAAAAGCTCGATTGCTTACCAACTTTAGGAGTGATGGCAGAACTCCCTAAGCACCAAGTGAGTACAAAACCTGTAGGTGAAGGCTCCAATAGGAGGTCCTTGAATAGGAACAACCCCAGATTTATAAACCATTAAAGCGAATTTAAACTAAATCCTCAACTTAATGGGCACCCAAACAAAGAGCACAGAGCGGGCTCAATATGATTCTAATAGCTCTAACCCATGAGCAATCGATGCATTTGGCTTAGCCTCATGGTAACCCAGCAAAGAGGAAATTACAATAATCAAAGACTGGAGATCACGAGGGCACGTGTTGCCATCACCAGTATGTCTGGATAAATAAGATAAATAAAGGGCACAACCTATGCAAATTGCATTGCTGAAAACCACATTTCTAAAACTAGCCAATGCATTGCTTTCCATGGAAAGGGCATGCTCAACAATGCCACAATTTTTAGCTTGACTCAGTGACTGCCACATCAGTTACCTCAAACAGAGGAGCTATAAAGGAGGAGCTAGTTATCTGATAAAAATGATCCCTCTCCAATAACACCACTTCTATCTTACCAGGGGTCAGGACAAGAAGCTCTGACAGGATAAACATGTGTATTGTATTATGAATTAAGTATATCATCAGGTTTGTTATTCATTTATAATGAGTTTCATAGATTCATTAAGGTCAGAAGGGACCATTACGGTCATCTAGTCTGACCTTCTGCACAACGCAGGCCACAGAATCTCACCCACCCACTCCTGTGAAAAACCTCTCACCTATGTCTGAGTTATTGAAGTCCTCAAGTTGTGGTTTAAAGACTTCAAGGAGCAGAGAATCCTCCAGCAAGTGACCCGTGCCCTATGCTACAGAGGAAGGCGAAAAACTTCCAGGGCCTCTTCCAATCTGCCGTGGAGGAAAATTCCTTCCCGACCCCAAATATGGTGATCAGCTAAACCCTGAGCATATGGGCAAGATTCACCAGCCAGATACCCAGGAAAGTTTGTGTCATCTATACGGATAGGAATAGAACCTAGTCAAATAATGGAAAAACAAACTGTGAAAATTATGTCAATTTTTATCTTATTTGTCTAATCAAAATTTCTATGGTTTATGAACAAAGTTTTGAAATTTGAAAAAAATTCAACCTGTTGTAGTTAAGAGTTTCTATTGTACTTGCATTTGTATTAGCTATATAAACGTAACAGTGTTCATGGCTGGATTTATTCAGCGGGAATTTTAGCTGAGTAAGGAATGTAGGATCAGATCCCATAAATGCTTATGCAAAGAAGTGAAGACAAAAGATTGTAGGAAAAGAACAACCTGAATTACTCCAACTCACTCCCCAGAGCCATCATTCTCTACATTTACCATTTTGAATGTGTATATTGGTTATGTGTCTGCTGTTTGGTAATGTTGTTTCATGTAAATTGAACTATGTCATGCCATTTTGTAATTCATACAGTTCGAAAACTTGCTTTCCATTTTCAAAAGGAAGAGCCATTTCTCACTGTTATTGTGCTTTTGGGGCCTATCTAACCCCTTGGGACTCAGTCGGATTATTTGCAATCCTCCCAACGCTACCACAGAGTGGCAGTGGCCTCTTGAGCCATGACTGGATTGTTGCCTGATCTTTAGGGGTTAATGTTATTGTATCTGATATGCGTTATAGGTTTGCCAGTTGATCTGATCAGAAGATAATAAGGTTCTGTCCCAGAATCAGGCTACACAGAGTCTTGTAAGAACCGTTGGGATGTACAGCAAGCACACTCACACTGAGGAAAAAACACAGCCTTAGAGACTTTTATTAATATAAGCAGAAAAAAAGAACAGGAGTAGTTGTGACACCTTAGAGACGAACAAATTTATTAGAACATAAGCTTTTGTGGGCTACAGCCCACTTCATTGGATGCATAGAATGGAACATATAGTAAGAAGAGATTGATTATATATATGTGTGTGTGTGCACACACAGAACATGAAAAAGTGGAGTAAGAGGCTAATTAATTAGATGAGCTATTATCAGCAGGAGAAAAAAACTTTTGTAGTGATAACCAAGATGGCCCATTTAGATAGTTGACAAGAAGGTGTGAGGATACTTAATATGGGGAAAATATTCAGTATGTGTAATGAATAAAGTGACACCATCATAGGACCTAATCACATTAGCCACTCCATCAAGGGCTCATTCACCTGCACATCTACCAATGTGATATATGCCATCATGTGCCAGCAATGCTCCTCTGCCATGTACGTTGGCCAAACCGGACAGTCTCTATGCAAAAGAATAAATGGACACAAATTTGACATCAG